GACCTGTGCTGGCTGGCTGACAGGGGCATCCTGGTGGCCTCCGACTCCGGTAAGCGCTGGGGATGCCGGCCCGCCTTGGCTGGGGTGTGTCCGTCCCCTGTGCGGAGCTGGAAGCCCCCGCTCCTCTTCCCCTGCATCCCCAGGGGCGGTGGAGCTGTGGGAGCTGGAGGAGGACGAGAGCCTCATCGTGAACAAGTTCTGTAAATACGAGCACGATGATATCGTGACATCGGTGTCTGTCCTGGCCGGCAGCAGCCAGGCTGTCAGCGGGGGCAGGGATTTCTGGTGAGTGTCCCCAGCCTGGCAGCCGTGTGGCCGGGCTGTGCTGGGCGCTCACTGCTCGCTCTTGTCCCCAGCGTGAAGGTCTGGGACATCCCGGAGCAAATGGTGCTGCACTCCTACAGAGGTGAGTGCCAACCCAGCCTTCTCTGGCCTTTTTTATAAACCCCTTCGCATCCCACTGTGACCCTTTCCCCCTGAGCCCCTGGCTGGCTCCCTCAAGCTCGGGGGTGTCACAAGGACTTGTGGTTGCATTGGGCAGCTCATCATCACTTGGGTAGGAAGCAGCCTGCTGGAGCAGGAGTTATCCCGTGTCTGGGCATGACTGTTAGACTGCTGTGCCTCTGGAGGTCCTTGGGAATACGTGGGAAAGTTGGATACAATCTTTGAGGCTCTTTATCCTTTTGTGCTTTTGGTAGCTCACTCCGATGCAGTGACATGTGTGGCTTCCTGTCCTGGTAAGGACACTGTGTTCCTGTCCTGTGCTGAGGTAAAGCTCTCTCTATTGTCTAAACCTACCCATTAAAATGAGATTTAACTTTAGCTATTTACACTTTAATGCACTTAGAAACCACCTCTTGTGTTACTGCAGTGTTCTAGTCTGATAAATTTATAATCCGTTTACCAAGCTGATTCCTACAGGTTTGTATCAAATCTTGGGAGCTCCTAGTTCTGTCCTGGGGATGACTGAAGGCTGCACTTAATGACAGCATCATTTTAACCCAGAGGAAAAGGCAGGGACATCTTGCCTGTGAGTCAGCAGCGAATCTGAATTTATGCCACAAAGAAATTGTAAAATTCTTCTCGTTCCTTTTGGATTTATAGGACAACAGAATTTTACTCTGGGACACCAGATGCCCCAAACCAGCTACCCGAATTGGTATGTGTCTGTGTGCAGTCACTGCTTCTGCATGAGTTTGTGTTGGAAGAAATAAATTATTTTATGCCTGACTTCTAACTCCAAATCTAGTGATGTGCCTGTTAAAACCTAAGGAGATCTAACACTGTCACAGAAGTACAATAAGCTTAAAACACTTGTCTTGATGCAGGAGCAGTGCTAAATGAGATAGATGAGGAATATCTTTGTGCTGCCTCCTTCCACACTCACCCATTTCTTCCCTCGCAGTTTGCAGTGCCTGTAATTACCTCCCTACCTCAGTCATGTGGCATCCACAGAAAAGTGACATCTTTGTCTTGGGTAAGAACCTGGACTCTCACCAGGAAAATCAAGGTGGGTGTTTTCACAGGACAGTTTCTGCTGGTAACTTCAATCCCCCCTCTCTCCCAGGTGATGAAAGTGGAACAGTTGCACTGGTGGACACAAAGAATCCTGACTCTGCCCTCAGCGCTGCTGTGCACACCCAGGGCATCACAGGCTTTGCTTTCTCTGCACACAGGTACTGAAAGATTCTGGCACAGAACAAGGGACTGCATCCCCTTAAAAGCTTTAGTTATTTTGGAGTGAAACCTATGAGAGTGCCAGGTTTGGCCTTCTTATCAAGGAGGTTGTAGCAGAGAATAGAGTAAAAACCAAGCAGCATCTCACTTGTGACATGTGCTAATGTCCATGACAAGAACTCTGCAGTTCCACAGTTACTGAGCCACACACCGTGGGGATTTTCCTAATTACAGTCACCTGATTAAAGGAGGATCACTGGCTTTCAGACTCTCAGAATATTCCCACTCACTGTACAGGCACCCTGCCAAATGCTGATGAAAACATTTTTGTAAGATTTTTGTGAGTTAATTTGCAGTACCTGGGTCAGGATCACTAAGAACTCTACTGTTCACAGGTTTATCCCTAAAAATTGTTGTATTTGCTTGTTCTAACTCTGCTCTCATCTCTCTAGCTCACCCTTACTGGCTTCCATCAGTGAAGACTGTTCAGTTGCTGTTCTTGACTCAGACCTCTCAGAGGTGTAAGTACAGACAGAACATACTGCTGTTCTCTTCTTGAGTTAATTATTAATACACAGGATGCTTTGGGGTGGAAAGGACCTTAAAGATCATTAATTCCACCCCCTGCCATGGGCAGGACACCTCCCACTGTCCCAGGCTGCTCCAAGCCCTGTCCAACCTGGCCTTGGATACTTCCAGGGCTGGGGCAGCCACAGCTGCTCTGGGCAACCTGGAGGTGGAAATGTTCCTGAATAAAGGAGCATCATTATACCAGTCCAGCAGTTAGGGATTGCCCAGGCCCACATCCTCTCTGATGATGGCTGATGGAGTGTTGGTGTTTTCCAGGTTCAGAAACCGCTCTCATCGAGACTTTGTGAAAGGCTTGTCCTGGTCTCCTTCAGACGATGTCTTGCTCACTACAGTTGGATGGGATCATCAGGTTTTACATCACACTGTTCCCCTCCCAGCTGGTGAAGCTTCTGGAATCAACTGTGTAAAAGAATAGTTTTATAAACTCGTGGTCCAAGTTCCTTGCTGGCATCACTTTGATTCTGCTGAAGTCACAGGTGTGTGAGCTGGAGTGTGGGGTCTGTTGTCTGCCTCAAAGCTTGTGGCTGAGAAGCTTCCTGTAGTAATTTTGAATTAGGCATAAGTTAGTTACAATACAAACTCTCTCCTCAGGAGTAGCTTCTCCTGTAATAAAAGACTTTGGTTTTACTCAGAAAAAAATTGACTTCAGGCACAGAGGAGACTCTGAGAGACAGGGAATTAGGTGTAATGAAAAAAAGAAATAAAGTCAAAAAGACTTGATTCAGTTCTCCAGACTACCCATGGAATTAACAGAAGCTTTTGGGGGAGGTTAGGAACACACCTCTTGTTGGGTAGATGGGAGAGTCTCACCCTTGAGCGAAGTTCTTTGCTCTGTAAATCAGGTGGAATGAAAAGACCTGTTGGGATTCAAGGGCTAGAAGGGTTCCAGTGCCGTCCTTAATGCAGCACGTGGTGGAGAGGATTCAGCCCCAGTGGCAGCCTGGAGCCTCTGGCGAGCAGCACTCGTGCACTGGTGTGAAGGAGCTCCCAGCTGGAGCCCAACACCTTTGGCACGGTGCTGGAATCCTGGGCAGGGAGCAGGGAGCAGGGAGCAGGTGCTGTGCTCTGACACCACGGTTCATCTCCTCTGTGCTGAAGGCATCCCTCCAGGATGAGACCTGTGAACAAAAGGTTTCTGTGGGGGAAAAACTGGACTAAGGACTTGAGTTGTCATTTGCTTGCTCCTGTTGCAGACTCTGCTTAGTGATAACCCAGATCCATGCACTTGTGACAAGTGACTTCTTGTGCTGGCACTGAGGGGACAGGACAGTCCCCTACCCCCCAAACCAGACTCCACAGAACCTGTAGAGGTGTTTTTGTCAAATGCCACATACATTTCTGACTCAGCTGTTTCCCTGGAACGTGTTTACCTGGAGAAGGTCACTGCTCTGCATGCATTGCTGCTGCTCTAGGTATGCCTTGGTCTGGCCTAGTATTTCCTAGACAGAATTAAGCAAGTCCTGACAGATGAAACAAAAATACCGTTGAAATGAATGTTACCCCCAGTTCTTTAGCATGATAGCAGCACTTAAATGTACACTGCTTCCAGTTTTTATCTCTGCATACACATAGGTTTAGTTGTGCAAAGCCCACAGTGAATTTTTAGGCAGACTAAGCTTCCCCAGGCTCTGTACTTGTCTCTTTGTAAACCTCACTTGCTGCTTTTTAAATTCCTGTGTCATACAGATGTTCACAGCAACTTCCTGTTCTAGAGCAGTGTATGACAAGAAATTGTAAATGATGATAAAAATAGACATTTCCTCAGAAATATCCCTTGAACCATGGAGTCCCCTGTCAGGGACCTGTGATGCTGTACTGAAACAGGTCTTGTGCTGGTTCTGAAACAGTGGAAGATGGTTTTCATTTGTAACTGGGTTTAAGTTTCACTGGGCCACTTCTGTAGCACTGAAGAGCAAGCTGAGATCATCCACACACTTCAAGTTGTGATTTCAGTCCCTGATATTAAAACTGTTCTTAAATAAATGTTCACCGTATTCCTGTTCAATGCCAGGGTACTACAGTTCTTCAGCACCTGGTGCAAGGCAGGCTCTGGGTCCTGCTGCTTTCCAGGAAGTTTTTCTTTCTAGAAAAAACTTTCTGGGGTTCCATCATGCACAGCTAAAAAGAAAAGTTCAAATATCAGACATTAAACCATATTAGGTTGCTCATATTGCCACACCTGAGCAAAACACAGCAGCCCCTGGTAAAAGACTCCTGGTGGATGGTGAAGCCTGTGGGGAGAGCAGGTGATAAATAAACTTCTTTACAATTAAAGACTGAAGAACTCTCAATGCTTCAGCATCTGGCAGGTGTTTGTGGTGCCACAGGATGGCAGCAGCTGCCCTCGACAAGGGCACGGCAGCACCGCCCAGCTCTGCCTGGAGGAGCATCTGCTTTTGGGGCTTCCTGCACCTGGGGTTTTTCACTCCTACGAGAAGCACAGAAGAGCAGCAGTTCAGGAGTCACTCCTGGGGTGCAGCTTGGACCAGAGGTGTTGTACCAGTGCTGGCAAGGCTGCAGGAAAGTCACAGACATGTGAGCAGCGTAGCAGGAACGCCAGCAATCCCACAAAAATCCTTGCTGGCTTTGCAGCTCCCTGCTGGGGAATGCAGGGAACTGTGTGGGGTCTGTGGCTTGCTCGGCTGTCCCTGCACCACACCCCAGTCAGGTTTGGGGACACCTGGGTACATCCACCGTGGCTGCAGTAGAAGCTTCAAGGCACACATGGCACCCTTTCCTCCCTCAGCCTGCTCCTGCAGCCAGAGCTGGATGGAGATGAGAGTCAGATCAGTTTAATCAGTTTAATTCTGAGTGGAGAGCAGCAGAGAAACCTTTTGTGTTGCTGCCTGCATTGCTCACTGTGCTTGCAGCTTTGGGCACAGCATTCGAGTTGGGGCTTGTAACAGGTATGAGAGTTTCTCCCTAATGAAGGGCTCCAAGCCCAGGACTATTTATAGAATCTGCTCCTGTGCCAGCCTGCCCAACCAGCTGGGTGTGAGTGACAGAGCTCCTGGGGCACAGCTGCCCCTTCATGCCTTGACTGGGCTTCTAAAACACTGAAATGGCCACAGGCTTTGGATGAACTGCTCAGAGAAACTGGACCAAGTTCTAGGTAAGATGAAATTCAAACCTTACTGAGCTACATTTTCCCATCCTTTCAAGGACATGCAAACTTCTCAATCCTCCAGCAGACAAGACTGTGTAAGCAACATTAAAAAAAAAAAGATACCACACATGTAATAAAACATCCAGAAATGTTTAATGCAAGAAGGATGGTGTTCAGTGGCACTTATAAATAAAAGACTTTGTTCAATACTTTACAGCTAAAGCTCTGTTACACTCCCATAGCAGGAACTTGTGAGGAAGAGGCAGCTGCAGGGGATAATTTAAGTTGTATCACAACTTGAATTACCACACTGCATCAGAGAGGGTGAAGTGAGAATAATTCCACACTCAGGATTGCTCTCAGCACTGGGCTGAGGCAGGGTGCTTTGCTCCATTAACACCCCTTAGTTTTGTTTCTTCTCACTCTGTTGCTAAATTTCCATAGTGAAAGAGCTGGGAGGAGCAGGAGCAGGAGCAGTTTATCCACAGAACCTGACAGAGTTACCTGCCCCAGGAAGAGGAGGCTCTCCCCCATCCATCCCTGCAGTCCTCACCTCCTGAGAGATCTCACTGTCCCCAAGTGCTCTGGCTGCCAACAGCTCTGACAGTGGTTCCTTTGTCACAGCAGCCCCAGAATCAATGGTGAGTTGTTTCTGAAATACCAGAATGTGCTGAAGGCATTCAAAAGCAGCAGGGATAGTCCAAAGGGTCTGAAGAATAGAAGTGTTCTGCTGCTGAAAGCCTGCATGCTAACCAGTCCTACAACTGGAAGCAGAGTCCAGCCTGATTCAGTGACAGCCCCTGTGCAGTCCCAGAATCTGTTCTTGAGTGAAGAATGGCTGTTTTATAAAGCTGACTTCTATTATCATGCTTCTAATACTTAATTAAAACAACTATGTCTGCTAGAAGTGACACACTCCATGGTGTCTAAGACCATATTTCAGCTACACATGAATTGTGTGTCTGGATGAATTAGTAAATGTGACATTTAAAGCAAGTGTCAACATTTTTCTCTACAAAGAAAAAAAAACAACAAAAAAAGCAAACAAACTTGTGTAGGGGAGATTGTAATTTGGAAGAACTCTTGAGGTGGAAAATTGCACACATACCCCCTGCCCTCACCACTTCTGGGCAAAGTCAGTATCAAAAGCTGAAATTGCCCACCCAGCCTTAAAATTGTTTTTGAGAGCTCATTCACAATTATAGCTTATTATTTTGAAAAAAAAAACCCCAAAAACTATCAAGAAAAAAAAACATTAAATTGCAACGTTATCAAAGAGACTTCTTTGTTTGCTTTCAAGCTAAACTGGTGAAACTTCATCCAATAGCAAAACATGACCCTGAAGGCCCTGAAGGAGGATCACAGATTTACTTCTACAAATGAATGAGAATGCTCAAGATGCTCCTTGCATAGAGAAAATTCTATGTTTTAGGGCAGGTGGTATTCCACAAGACACTTGGCACACTTCAATGTCCTTATAATTACTCCATAGTCACTTTTCTCCATAAATATTCCAGCACCCAGATATTTAAAGCCTATTATTTCAATATTAGCTGGGGTGAACAATGGAAATCTTCCAAGTCACTGTGACTTACTGGCATAAAAATGCCCTTTGAATTAGCTATTAGACTGATTATTGTATCTGCATTTTCATTTTATTCACAGCAAAATAAAGTTCAGCATACTTTAAAGCTGCTGCAATATCTGAAAGGGATGTTAAATTATTAGGTAAAGCTGGAAATAACACAAAACACAGAATGCCAGTGACATGACTCGAATGTCAAGATAACTTTTGAGAATTCAACTGTGAAGGAAAATTTATCCCTGATTTTGAGCTGAATGAGCAAGATCTGCTTGCAGGCCACATCCAGGTGTGTGCCAGGCAGGGCAAGCTAGAGTAGAACCAGTGGGATTTACAGCATTGAAAATAGAAAGTGCTTTCCATAAAAATAGACTCATGTCTCAAAGTGCTTTTAGTTTGCCAGTGATTAGAAAATATTCTCTACAAGTTTTTACAGTTATTTTACAGTGATTTTCAGCAAGTTTACCTAGGAGGAAGATTCTCTGTTTCTAGCTTCAGGAATTATTCACAACTCAGGTCAGCTGTTGTGAGACCCCACTGCTCACTCTGGAAGCTGAAACCCTCTAAGGCTACTCCGAGCTCCCACCCTGTGTCCACCAGCGGGAATCAGGGGCAGCTCTGCACATCCAGCACCTGGCAAAGCACCGAGGGAAACAGCGGGAGCCAGCTCCTTTCCCTGCAGACACCCCACACGCCACCAGGATAAATACAGTCACTCTGAAATTGAGCTTCAAAGCAGGCACATGGGAGCCAATCTCAGTAGAATAAGTAGAATAAGGACTCTTGGGGTCACAGGGCTGTGATGTGACAAGAGCAGCACAGCACCTGGGCGAGTGGTGGACACCCACCAGCCCAAGGAAAAGGATTGCTCCATGACCTATGTCTCCAAAGTGCTTTACAGCCATCCAGCCAGGCCTCACAGCCTCCTTCCACGAGGAATAATTACCAACAGAAACATTTACAGTGACCAAAAGGCACAGCAAAGCAAGGCCCCTGCTCCCGAAGCGGCTCCTGGAGGAGGGGTCAGAGCCCTGCTCCGCAGGACAGGCACTGACTGCCCAGGGCTGGGTTTAAGGCAGAATTGATTCGCTCCAAACTCTTGAAGGACAGAAAGGCTCAGGATCCAGGCATCTCCTCCTATCCCACTGGCCTCACATTCTTATTTTAATCCCTGACATTTAGCTATACACTGCTTTGCTTCCGCTGTGCACATCTCTCAGCCGGTCTCTCCCTGCTCCCAAACATGCTGGAGTTAAACCAATTAACAAACAAACTGCAATCAATCTTTCCAGTGGTGATGCTCTTTAAAGGGAGCTGAGGATGCTCTTTGGCTTTCCTAGATGGCCTATCAGTCTGCAATTCTGACAATAATCCAGGAGGGAAAATGGGAAAAAAGGAAAGCACGTTTGCTCATGTAACAAGGCAGCGTCCTGCCCTCTGCAGTAACAATTCTCCTCGACAGTCTTTTGAGATAAGTCCGAGTCTCGGGCTCATTCCCCACCTCCATCAGCAATTTCAAGCAGGAGCATTTTCAGGCTGGGTTGGGACCGTCCCTGGTGCCATAGAGAAGGAAAGGACCAAGCCAGGCACCCTCTCGCCCGTTGCCAGCCGGATGCCAGCGGGGCGGCCCCGAGGTCCGGCCTACCGGTGGCTCTGGTAGGTGTAGGAGATGGGCTGGCGCGTCCCGGGCCTCACCGTGAAGGTGTTGGAGGGTGCCCCGTAGTGCGGGGTGCCGTGGGCAGGCCTGCAGGGAGAACAGAGGGGAACTCACCCAAAGCCCAGGCTAACCTTGGCGTTCAGGCAGTACCGCAATGATCATTTTATCGATTCGTGTCTCCACTCAGCAAGGTGGGGAGGGAGGGAGACGGGCACTGGGGTCACAGCTGGCACCAGGGAGGAGCCATGGAACGCTCACTGCCCTTGGAGCAGGAGCCAGGGGGCAGCGACTGCTCTGGAGCCCCAGCACTGCTGTGGGGCCGGTTCCAAGGGACACTGAGGACAGGGAGGGCTGGGCCCAGGGGACACGTACCTGCTGCCTGTCAGCACGCTGCCGGGCGAGAAGTCCCCGTTCTGCCCCTTGTACTTGGTGTCAGCCCCGCTGCCGCCGTACGCCGTGCCTTTCCCAGCAGCGTCCGTGGATGCCCGCCTGCCCTGGGTGCTCGAGGGGCCGTTCCTGTGGGCAGAGCTCAGGCGGCGAGACCCCTCCCCAGCCGTGGAGCCGAACCCCCCTGTGCCGTAGGAGGAGAGGGTGCCCGAGGCCCGGGGGGCTGCGGCTGCCCGGGGGTAGGAGCTGTCGGGCTCTGACATGTACAGGCGCTTCTTGATCAGTGGCCGCGGGTTGGGGCCGTGGCTGGGGAAACTCGTGGAGCTGCTGTAATCCGGGTACTGGGGTGTGAAGTCGCCGTTTCTCCAGCTCTTCTCCAAGGGCAGCGGAGCTGCTGGCTCCTGGTTGCCCCCATAGCTGCGGGTGTAGCCAGACCACCTGAAATAGCGCGGCTCGCCCGAGCTCCGGCTGCTCTCAGGGACACTGGGGCACTTGCGATTCTCTTCCCGACTCGGGAGGGGACTCTCGTCTGCCTCGTTACTGAATTCGGGGGGTGGGGGGATAATCCCGAAGTCCAGCACCGTGTCCCCGCTCTCCTCCTCCCTGGGCACTCCGTGCTGGGCTGGGCCGGGCTGGCTTGGCTGCCCCGAGTCCAGCAGGCCCCGGAGCAGGCTGGAGGCAGCGGCTCGCCGGG